TATGAAGATTTATCCTCATATTAAAACCAATTTGGCCCTCTTCTGAGCCGGTTCAATCAATTTCACATACTGCTATGTTCTTGTAAAAGAAACAATCTAATTTAATCTTTTTATTTACGATTAAATTATAATTTATCACAAGTGTGGCATGTGATTTCAATAAAACCTAATGTGACAAACATAAAAAGATAAAATACACTTATACAAATGAATTCAATATTCCAATTATTACATTTTAAAAGCAAAGGAGAACAAATTCTCATAAGTAATTTAAAATTTGCCTCTCACTTTATATATATATATATATATGAATAATGAGGTTTAAATATGAGAAACGAAGACATGGTAAAGACTGTAGAAACATAAATGTTTAGGAAGTATCTAAGAATACAATCTTTTAAAAACCGCAGTTAAACAAAGAATAATAGTGAATGTAATGTCATTTTAAAATGTAAATGAAATAAAATATACAAGGAAAGGAGCGAGTTTGTATTTTCGGTTGCGGGAGGGAGGTTCAATGCTTTTGTAGCACTGCCGGGATTACTTTTTGAACATGTTATTCTGCCCGGATCGACCAGGCTAAAACAAGAATATTTTAAAACACGTCACTTACATTTCCTGTAACAAGCAATTCAAAGTTAGGGAAGCAGTCGGCCATAACGTGTCCCCAAAACAGACCCTTGGGGTTCTTTCAATAGACTTTCCCTCGGACACAACTGGTCCTACCAAGTCAAATACCTTACCAACAATAAGAAAGGTCTAACCCCTTCGCATAAATATGTTATTCATGGTCACCATTGTCAAAAATTCCTACAGACTTGTTTCTTACTGGTCCTAGATCTTGATGAAGTATTTTTCTTGGGGTCAGCAGAAGTCTACATTTCAAGAAGTCTTCTACAGCTGTCGCAAGTCACCTTTCTATGTAAGTTACTACAGTAGACTTCCGATTATCCTGGGGGCAATATCGCGGAAAATACTCATCTTCAAAGATTCTATGATTTAACATAAACAACGAAAGTTAAAGCAAGTTTAGACGTTAATGTGCAAAGATTTCTAGTGAATATAAAAATTACCCAAGGCTGACTATCATAATATTGCCATTTAGATCTGATTGTAAGAGTTCACGATTTTAACACATATTTACGAAGCAACTGAATGTCTTGTTATAACGAAAGGGTTGTTCCTTACACCCGTTATTCTTTGAAGTATACATTTCAACGGAAAACGGTAGATATTAAATAAAAGCACGATGATGAAAGAGAAAAGGCAACCGGGGAAAGGAGATGCAAGGAGGAGAGAGGAAAAGAGAAGTGAGCAGAAATTTTAGGCTTTTCCCAAAGACTGATGGATTTCTGTCGTTCCTCATTGTCTCAGCGTATATTTTAATTAGTGCTGCTGCTGCTACAACATCTTTCAGCCATGGGAGAGCGTGTGAAACACTGACCTAAGTCTCTTTTTTCATAGCAAAGTTCAGTTCTGTCACTCAGCTGTTTCATTTCTTAAGAAATACAACATGTTTTTGTAAACTACAAAAACTATGTGCCCTAAGATGAAACCCTTCTTGTCCTCGTGCCTAATATCATCCCATCGTAGCGTGTACAGAGCGTGGAGGCATGTCCTCGTGGCTTATTGACCTCGACAATACGCAGATGTCAGTAGTCAATTTCAGCTCATACTACGAACAGAAAGTTGAGTGTGTTCAAGGCGTAAGTGACGTAGATAAGTGTCCATTCCCTATCGACAATTGAATTCATATCGTCCTAATATTTTAAAATGGCCTTCCACGATTTATTTAATAAATCTCTTCCTACTGCTTGTTAAGCATCCATAAAGACGTGTGGGTGGAGTTATAACTCCACCTATTCTTAATCTCAGCATTATATTAAGGTAATCAGTCAGATTCACGCTCCGCCCAAATTTTCCCTATGAAAATAACCCTCTGTATCCATTGTATAGGAGGCTGGATGGGCCCCATAGCCACTCAGGACGTAGTGGCCAAGAAAAATGATAAAAAGATATGATAGAATAATATTAAAATGTGAGATAAGGATTTGGTTGTATGGACGCAGCTAATTATATTGTCCACTGGGAGGAAGCTTTTGAATTATCCCACGATGTTCAACTGTCCCTTAGGTCGCTTTCGCTTGCTGATATGTAAGTCACGATGCACGAGGCTCTGTGTGTTACTAACATAAGAGTTGCTTGTTATCATGCACAAGGCTAATAATGATCCGTGCAAGCGAAGAATAGAGATGAGAAATAATAAAATATCAAAAGATGAGTTTTGCTGTACTCCTGTGCTACAATGAAGGGCTAAAATGGAAGCGATACATTCTCTGAGTGCAGAAATCAAAGAATAAGCAGCTTCCATTTGCTGATTACATGATGTGGTATGATGTATGATTTGAGGTTTTCACAGCGGTGAGTATGAAGATTTCAGTCTTCTGGGTTGTTGCGCTGTGTAGTCTGGTCGATGTTAACCAACGTTTCAGAGGTCATACTGCCTCCGTCATCAGAGTATGAAGATTTCAGTCTTCTGGGTTGTTGCGCTGTGTAGTCTGGTCGATGTTAACCAACGTTTCAGAGGTCATACTGCCTCCGTCATCAGAGTATGAAGATTTCAGTCTTCTGGGTTGTTGCTGGAATAGCCCTGATGAGGGAGGCAGTATGACCTCCGACACGTTGGTTAACATCGACCAGACTACACAGCGCAACAACCCAGAAGACAGATATCTTCATTTAGTATGATTTTATCGCAGTTGCTAGTTGTAAATTCATTAATTAAATAAAAATTCAAAATTCATTTCTATTAACAGTCTAATAACAGTCAACCGATTTCAGACTCAATCTTCTAAAAATCTCTTTAAAGACCGCCTTCTATTTCTTAATCTACGTGGTTTGTAGCTACCATTTTAACATTGTGGGAAGTTCGTCTTTTTGTAGTTTATCAGCATGTTTAATCCAGCTGCTTTTATATTCCAAAAATTTGTATAACATAGGTTCTGTTTTTGATACACCTTTGTTTTCTTATACAGCCTAGTTCATCCCCTATGAATTTTCCTTTTCTTCTCGTGAATTACGTTTCAATGGTTTTACGTCCATTCCACCCCACCGCACGAGGTAAATTTTATTTTTATATACGCATTCAATGCACTTACAGCGTAACACTAAGTTAAGGTAACGTTCATTTACAGTCCCTTAAATAGTTCAACTACAGTCTTACAAGCGGAATAATACTCCAGTCAGATGCCAGAGAACTGCGTTTACTTCCTTAACTTGCGTTAGATTACCCTCCAACCCCCAAAAGGTGTAAGCAGAGTTGTCAAACTGAACTCACATTATTACTTTACACCTTACACATCATTACACACGGACATTATACTTTCGGCCTTCCTAAACACCCAGTTCGACAATAGTCTAGGCCTAATTGCAAAGTGGCAGTCAGCAGGAGATTGAATGTCGAAGTAGTCAGCCAAAGGGGAACAGAAACAGTCCCAAAAGTCAACAAAGGAAGCAAAATCTCCATTCAAAATGCAAGTTCTCTGACGGGACTTTTCTTTTATATTTTCATACGTAAGAGGCGAGCAAACATTATCGTTTGAAAAGTTTTTGATTCGATCAAACGTCTGTGGAAGAAGTTTGAACATTTTATTTCCGCTATTTTTATAGAGGGGTAAGAACATTGCGTACACGCCCAGGGTCTACTCCAGGGATCGAAGGTCGAAATTTAAGAACGATGGGATGAAACTGGCAGGGCGGAAAGTAGGGAAGGGGGAGGAAAAAGATGGCGGTTCTTGGTGAAACGGGGCGAAAAGTGATTGAAAGAGTTTTAGGGAAAGGGTGGCTGGGGGGGAGGGAAGAAGAGGTGGAGGAAGGAAGGGGGTGGTTTGGGGGGAGTGGCCGTTGTCTTTTGAAAATTACAGAAGGGAGTGGAAAAGACAGGAGCAGAACGAGAGAGAGAGAGAGAGTTCGTAAATAAGAGCGAGAAAAGATGAGAGAGTGAGAAAGAGTGCACTGGAAGTGATGGATAAAAGTTGGAAAAGGAGAGCGGTAATGGGGAAAAAGATGGCGTTCGTTCCGCGGGTTTAGCGAAGCGAATATTCTACGAGATTGACTTCTACTACCCCGAGATGTTATACTACCCGTTCTGCACACAAATACCACCGCCAGTCCGCCGGTCATTTGCATCCGTCGTGGGATTGCAGGGAACTGTACGTACCTACGGCAGGAAAGCTCAAAAACTGACCGAGCAACTGAAGAAACAAACTATGAGAAATAATAGCCGAATGACCACTTGTTTGCGTGATTAATCGACTGAATGACTGCTAACAAACCAAGTAACTGTCTCTGTAGCAAAGAATCTACCTAAAGAATGCAAGATTTGAGGTTTTCAAGGCGGTGAAGATACCAAGTACATAACGTGATGTTTCTTACTGTGTACTTCCGACATTCTGCAATGCAACACTGAATCTCTCCTACTTACCAACATCCACCTGAACTCTCTCAAAGTAGGTTTAAAAAATGAGGCACAAAGTCTCATAAAACGTATTTCCACATGCTTCAGCCCCCTAGAAGTGTGTGCTGTCAACAAGTACAATAGACTACTGACATTTTCCACACACCTTCCATATTGACACACTGAAACTGAGTCGTGGGTTCTGCCAAATTTTCTGGGCCACACGTGGAAAGTAGGTCTACCGTAAAATTGACCGCGTCTCAAAAATTTACACCGTCATTTTTCCTTGAGTTTTCAAGGCTGGAGTTAAATGTAAAACTTTGGCTATCAGGAATGACCCGCGTCGAAGTTTTACAGTTTCTGGGAACACTGCACCCTAAAGATGGCATGTGCAAAGGATTGTTAAACGTTGTATAACTTTCAACACTCGACCCTGCTAATTCAGAAAGCCAAAGTTCTATATGTTATAACGCCCAACTATATTTTAATCCATACTTAATTTTACATCACGTGACTAATGCAGTTTAAAATGTTTCTCGAACAGCAGCAATTACGTCCATATAGGCATAAAACATAATCTTTGTAATGATAAAGTGCTAACCGAATTATTGAATATTATGTGGACGAACTTCGGCGTTGTAGTGTTAAATATGGTGTTCGTGACCTGTTTGAAGCTACCATTCCTACATCTACTTGGAGAGACTGAGAAAATACACGAAAGAAACTAAACTTAACCGGTAAGCTGCTCGAGATTCTAATTGCGAACCTCCAGAGTACAAGTCCAGAACGTACCTTCACAGCATCCAGTTCGGTGGAAGAACGTAAATATCATCTGTATGTGACACGAACCGGCGAGAAGAAGAGGCACAGATATTGAGGAGGTTCCCCGCACTGCTCTGTCATCGCGTTCATCAATTCCTCCATTCCTCCTCGAAAGGTCCGCTCCACCTGAAGACGTGTCAAGAAAATAAATCTTCGTTAGAGCAAAAACGACGTAACTGCAGAATTAGATGTTCGGAGCCAACAGAACAGAGACAGCCGCAGACGGCGCCACGTAAGTATATGAATGCAATTATTTCTGACACTGATTTATACTTTCATTATATATTATAACGATACGAAACTAGTAACTTTACTATTAAAATTATAATTATTGTATTATTATCATTAATTATTCATACCGTCCTTAAAATTAAAGACTGATGGGATTTCGTGCTTGTGTGTGTCAGACTGTACAGTTCAACAACTGCTCGGATTTCGATTAAATTTAGTATTTCGTTCTACAATTTTCGTCAGATTCTTTTGTCCATATCGGTCAAATGCACCAAGTACTTTACACAAAGCCCAAATCAAACTACATATTAGTTTCAAAAATGTCTCAAAGTATGAAATATTGACACGTACGGAACATACACCAGGAATAAAGCTTTCTTTTTGGATATCTAATTCCAAGTATATTTAATAAAATATTAGGGGAAATGATTTACCTCTTTTAAGAAAATGACCTCTACTTTCATTGACACACGTAATGAGTGACTATCATTTCTTTGTACATGGATTATACATGTTGAAATCTCAGCCCGGAGGCCTGGTATAATAACAACGATTTTCGTGGTATTCTTCAGTCCCTCCAAGGAAACATCGGGATATTACGTTATGCGTGATGACCAATTTCTTCAATTTTATTTTCAGTTTATCATTCATAAATTATACATCCATTAAACACTGCTAAATTTTGTTAAAAACCGACGTTAAATAAATTAGGGAATTAATGTCAAAATCATCGGCTTGTATGAAACATTATAAATTTTATATATCAGCAAGAAACCGCCGTCTGTAGTAGCAAGACGCGTGACACTGCGGTGGTAAAGGCGTACTAAGCATGCACCAGCTCCCCCATATAACCAAATAACCTATCCGAACAGACAGACAAATACAGTATCTCTTACGCGGTACTCACGAAGCCACACATCAGCTAGAATCTCATGAGAATTGAGTACATAAGAAAGACCACATTTTTCAGCACTGACTCAAAATGGATTCGTCTCATTGGCGTCACTCAAATTTGAAAGTTTTTGACAAGACGGAGCCTCGGGCTTACGTATCGCAGTTCAAGGCTTAGAATATGAACTTGATAGACAAGAACTGGGAATAAGTCATCGATACAATAATAAAGGACAAGTAGCTGGAACGTTTGGAATGAATACGTTTCAATCAAATCCCAAAGCTTTTCGATAAATATAAACAAAATGGTATAACATATCTGACATTTCCTAAAGAATTATAAAAGTACAGATTTGAATTCTTATAACTGGAACCGGTTACTAAGAGTTCATTCCATGCTTACGATAAACTAATTGATTAAATTATTATTTATTTTAATTTTTTTATATACTTTGATCTTCAAGTTTGCTGATTTTACAGAGGAAAATAAAATATTCGAAACTGAAAGGTATCACGCACTTCTAGAATTTAATATCCTACAAAATTAATTATGAAAATCATATGAATTCGTATGAGTATTAATTAAGTTCCTGAAATTTTTGTTTATACTTTGATCATAGGTTCCTAGGCAGAACACAACAAAAAACAAACATTCTGAACTGTATATCACCAAGATTAATTAAATTTAATTGAAGAAATAAATGTTTCTTGAATGCGCATAGTTAGCAGAATCTCTTAAAGGTCGTCCAGGAAACAGAATAGCGAGGAGCAGGGAACGAGAGACGGAGTTGGGAAAGGGCTTAATTTCAAAAAGGAATTGAATTGAAGCTTTTGACTTTAGAAGATAAAGCAACACTAGCGCACAGTGACGGCAAGCAGCGTCAACACACACTCAATGAATATAAAACGCTGAAAGAACCGGACTATAAAACACCGCTGTGCCATCTCACACACTTTCAGGCTCCAAATTCACGTTTTACTTCGAATTAACATTTTGAAAGGGTTTCTTCATCATCATGATTTGGGTACGCTATATAGACCACTCTAGTACAATTCCACTTCCTAAGGGTCTGAAGGTTCTGATCCAAATAATGTCCAAAATATAATTATGAAACAAGAAATAAGAGTTCCCGCACTGTTTATGCGGAAAATTAGTCAAAAGCTTACATTTCTTATTAAAATTTCTTCTGCGAAAGCTTGTCAAAAGCATGTTAATCCTATATGTATCGTTAAATGTCACAGGAATAATTATTATCCCTAAACCCAACATTTGTCTTTACGGTATCATTTTCAATAATCAGTTTCCGATATTAATCGGGATTTTACCCATTCCTACTGTGCGAATAGAAATAGCCTCCAAAGGTTAGCTGAATGGTAATTTGGTTGAATTCCGAAAAGAAAGCTTCGTGCTCGTACCAACTAGTCTTTGCCAGGGTTTCGACGTTCGGCGTCCATTTACCATTGTTCAGTCACATGGCATCCAGAGGCTACTCTTCTCATGATTAGTAACTTTTAAGCGTAGCGACGAAAGGCGGAGGTGTGAAGGATGTCGGGACAACAGGCGTCTATTTGCTAGTATCGTGTCTACAGCATTCCAATCCTCTCCTTTTAAATCCACGAATACTGTGTCTGCGCTTGCAAAATGGGCGTTGCGACGCCTGTCGTTGAAAGGATGGGCGTAACTGTCATCACTTTCGCCGAAGGGCGTCACGACGTTTGTGGCAGGAAAGACGAAAGTAGCGATAATTCGCATGTGAAATATGGTCATCGCAATGCTTGGTGTTGACTATGGCAGTTGCGTCGTTTGGCGTCAGGAATATGAGCGTTGTGACGTCTGGTGTCGGCCGATGGGCGCCGCTACCGAAAGCGTCTGCTGAATCGGCTTCGCGATTCTTAGGGTCGGGAAGATGGGAAGTCGCGACTCTTCGTATCGGCCGATGGACGCCATGACGCAAAGCGTCGGCCGATTAATGTCAGGAAACTGAATGTCTTGGAGATCAGCGGCGCAAAGCCTGGAGCTGGAAAGGTGGGATTCCCCAAAGCTTGGCACTGGGAAGATGCGCGTAGCGACGCTTTGAGTCAGCCGATGGTTTCCCAAAGGATAACGATAGGCGTCGGAAAGGTGGGAGTGGCGTCGCCTGACATTGGCAAGAGTAGCGCCGTGACAATCAGCGAAAAGTGGTTGTCGAAACCATGGGTGTCGCGTTGCTTGAGACCGGGAAGATGTACGTCGCGACGATTGGCGCCAGACAGGAAACTTCAAGCTCTCGACCGGACAACGGGAGTCGTGACGCTAAGGGCCTAACAGAAGGGGGAGCTGGGCGTCGCGACGCTAAAACGTCCAAAAGGCTGAAGTCACAACGCGTGGTTTCTAAAAGATGAGTGTGTCCACGCTTCGTAAGAAAGATAAAATTTATTGTTTTTGGCATGTAGGTAATGGGAATCGAGACGCTAAGCATCGGACACACGAAAGTTGCTGGAATGGAAGCCGAGACGCTTGGCGTCAGGCGACAAGCGTCGTAATGATCTGCTTCGGCAAATGGGCGCAGCGTCGTTGGGCTTCAGAAATGTGAAAGTAAGCACTTGTCTTTGAGAAGATGGACGTAACGACGCTTGACATCGGGCGAATGAGAGTCGCGATGCTAAGCTTCAGACAGACGATCGTTGCGAAGCCTTGTGTCAAGACGCTTAGCGTAGGCGGACAGGCATCGCGACGCTTTGTGTCGGGAAGATAGGCATCGTGACACTTGGCAGAAGAGAGAGTGAGTGACTTCGGGCTAAAATAATTTACGACATTCGGTTTGTGACAATGGTCGATTAATTGTTACAACATTATGTTGGAAATCATCCATTATCTAAGATTTATTTAATATACACGTTTCGTGAGTTCTCTACTTTAAACTTTATGTGATAAGTTATGTTATAATTGTCATTATCATTGTTGTTATTATTATTGACATGTTATTATTAGTGACAACGATCTAGTGTTAGCCACTCACTACAATTTATTTGTTAGACCCCCTGAATTCTGAACATGGCTTCTAGTTGCTCGATCGCCAAGATGGATGTTTCGCTTTTGGTAATGTTGTAACACTTGCCAGGGTACTTTTAATGGCTTGCAGAAGAAATGAGAAGAGAAAATAATTTCTTCCCATGCTCTGAAATAATTACTCCATTCTAATAGGGAACAGCCATTATTTTTGCTCTCACCCCTCTAACTAAGGAAGGTTTTCAGTTTTCAAAAGACGAGGGTAATTTAAACTACGCCCACTGTCGTACAGAAAGCGTCCTCCCCCTTGTAGCCTTCAATTCGTCATCTTTGTCTCTTACTTTCCTAATATTTCATTGGTCTTTGTTAAGAAGTCAGATCAAATTCGTTTTCCCTTTGCGCAACCTTCTAGGAAGAGTGAATGAGAGAGGAAATATTTAAGAAGTAGACGGCGAGATGCTTTCGGCTCTGGTATCGGAGAGATGTTTAAGATTCGTTTCAAGAAAGCGTGAGTGACTTATAGGAGCCGACAACTGAAGCGGAAATTGTAAGTTCCCCGGATAATTAATAAATTTCCATGTCGAAAGAAAGAAAAAACGCTTTGTAATTTCACCTCCACATGTAATGTTTTGGTAGTGATTTCGTCCAGATATAACGCCCATTATCTATTCTCTACTCCTAAACTTTTTAATGAGATAAACGGAACAAATTACTTCCAGGAGATTGATATATGTGTGTTTAAACTGCATAATAATTCGTATGATCTGAAATTTTCACGGCGACTAAGTATAATGAATTCTTCTCGGGCTACCAGCCGTGTAAGGTGGCTTATTGAAGAAAACACCGACGTTTCGAGAACCATCTTCATCCTCGTCTTGAGGCTGGAAGCCTGAGAAGAATTTATTAAGCACAGTAATTTCTTGCTTTTAATCCAGCTCTTAACCTGTGTTATTGACTTCTCATATGCCAAATATTTGTAATTTATTCACAGCAGAATAAGAAATTTGTTGTTGCAAAAAATTGAATTATGTAATGATTTTACGAAGTTTTTATATTACGTGAAGAAAGGGAAAACGTTTGTTTCACAAAAAGCAACAAGTAAATCGAATCCAAAAGTCTAA